TTGGTTCCTGAGTATAAGGAGGGGCCGTTTATCTTCTACTGGCTAAGAGGACAACCCAAAACTTAAACTTGTCACAACATTGGGGATGTTTCTGATGAGCAAAGAAAGAGAAACTTTAGGGAATACTAGTCTCTGTGATGCTAATGTCTAACATAATTATGTCTTAAAATATTCCCTTTAGAATGTACTAGTTTTTTCAGCATTCCATGAGAAGGCTGTTTTCAAAAAGGGATGGAAAGCCTTGATGCTAATTTAGAGGATTCTAACAGGTAAATGACAGACTACTCACATGATTGTAATGAGAGAGGCATCATGCAGAATAATTTAGCAAATTTAAAAATATATTTTCATAAGTCTTTTTCCCCTTAAGAAGGATGTAGAAACTAATACAGATAATAACTGTGGCATAAGCTTCTTGGAGAATCCAACTTCTCCACATCCAGGAGACAGCTTTAAATATAAAGCTATATATCACAGATGAAAAGTGTTATTCTTTGCATGTTTCTAAAATGATATTTTAAGAATATAACTTATAGTTGACATGCATCTGGATTTATTTTGAAACAGTGGATAACTACACCTGATGGAAAGTTCAGAGGAAATATAACAAAATGGAGGTTAAGAACTGCATAATGAAGGCAAAGGGTAATATGCCATATATGTGGGAGGGAAATTGCTATCTTTCTCTAATTTAGGCTTTTGAAGGATAAAGAACCTTGGGTAGATCTGTTTATCTTCCCACAGAGAAGGTACAGTTTTCCTAGAAATTAAATGAATGTAGATATTTTCCTAAAGATAAAAGTGAAAGATAAACAAATCAGGGAGGGTGGAATAATTTAGGAGAGTCCTAAGGAAACCAACGTTTTCACTGTGGCTTCTGCAATAAAACAGATTTGTCAAATGGAAGGGCTTCCCTGGTGGCTCAGACCGTGAAGAATCTGCCTGCAATGTGGGAGACCTGGGTTCGAATCCTGGTTTGGGGAGATCCCCTGGAGGAGGGCATGGCAACTTATGCCAATATTCTTGTCTGAAGGACCTTTATGGATAAAGGAGGCTGGCAGGCTACAGTCCACAGGGTCACAGAGATTCAGACATGACTGAACGATTAAGCACACACACAACGCTCTCAGGTAGAAGGATCAACATGACACTTTGTGTTTCACTCTCTTTTGTTCATCACCTTTTCTGTGTGATTTTCTTTCAGCTCATCTCTTTTAGCTCCCAGCTCAACATACTCCCTCTTTACTACCGTTCTGAGAATTTTAACCACTCTAAAATTGGCTAAACTTGTTTGAAAATTTAAAGTATGTGCAGTAGTTAGTAGAAGGTAAATTTGACAACAAAGGTCCATCTGGTCAAGGCTATGTGGTCAGGTATGGATGTGAGAGGTGGACTGTGAAGAAAGCTGAGCGATGAAAAATTGATGCTTTTGAACTATGGTGTTGGAGAAGACTCTTGAGAGTCCCTTGGACTGTAAGGAGATCCAACCAGTCCATCCTAAAGGAAGCCAGTCCTGGGTGTTCATTGGAAGGACTGATGCTGAAGCTGAAACTCCAATACTTTGGCCACCTCAGGCAAAGAGTTGACTCATTGGAAAAGACCCTGATGCTGGGAGGGAATGAGGGCAGGAGGAGAAAGGGATGACAGAGGATGAGATGGCTGGATGGTATCACTGACTCAATGGACATGAGTTTGAGTAAACTCTGGGAGTTGGTGATGGACAAGGATGCCTGGCGTGCTGTAATTCATGGGGTCGCAAAGAGTCGGACATGACTAAGCGACTGAACTGAACTGAACTGAATGCTGTTTTATCAGTGCAGTTTTGTCTCTAGATTATTACAACTCATTTTTGTGTCAGACACGTTTGAGAATCTGACTTCTGGGAAAAGTCGACCTATGGTCATACAGAGAGACATATAGAAAAATACCCATCAATGTTAGAAGGATAGAAAGAATATCAAGGCTGTCCTTGCATTCTTGGAGGGCCAAGGATTCATGTAAAAATTGTAGAAAAATCACAAGGATCATCTTAGGCATGCCAAAGTCCTAAAATCTTACATGACCAAGTGGTGCTGTTCTGTGTACAACATGTTCTACTCCAGGTTGTGGAGCTGATTAAATTATTTGAAATTTATCTAATTTTTTTTCAAACATATAAATTGGGAGCACATTTACCTGTTCACCATACCATACATACTATACAGATGGCCACAGTAAATTAATAATGTGAAAGTGTTTTTAACCAGAATAGTACTAAAACAATCAAATGATTATTACAAGAAGTAACTAAGAAGGTTCAGCTTAAAAATACTTATTAAGTATGTACATTGTACAAGGCATTGGGTTTGAATCTGGGGACAGCAAAATCCTGAAGACTTCAAAAATTCTCCTTCTATGAAAGAAACTAAAGGAAGCTTGCACAGTTTTGATTTTAAGCATAATATTTTAAGCATAATAATAGCATAGGAAAAGCTATAAAAGAAGCTCTTAAAGAACTGGAGAATTTCCTTCATCCCAAAGCAATCGTTGATGGCTTTCATAAGAGTTTAGTTTTTTTAAAATTAGTTTTTTGTTGCCTTTTTTAAATTGAAGGATAATTGCTTTACAGAATTGTGTTGTCTATCAAACCTCAACACGAATCAGCCATAAGTACTCTTAGCAGTTGGGTCCTTAGTTTTAAGACAGAGTTACTAGAAACAAAATTACACTTAAGGAGGGAAGGAGACTACTGAATACACTATTGATTGAATATTTGATACAAATATCACAATTATTTGCAAGTTAATGATTAATCATGTGTATTTATGGGCTTTCCTTGTAGCTCAGATAGTAAAGAATCTGCCTGCAAGGCAGGGGACCTGGGTTTGATCATTAGGTTGGAAAGATCCTCAGAGAAGAGTATGGCAACCCACTCCAGTATCCTTGACTGGAAAATTCCGTGGACAGAGGTGTCAGTCTGTGGACTTGCAAAAGTCAGACATGACTGAGTGACCAACACACACACATGTATTTATAATGTGAGAAAGCACATGTATTTATGATTCTTAATTTCTCTTACAAGTGTGTGCCCTAATGTATAAATAAGATTGTTCTAGAAATGGACAATTTAAAGAGATTAATAACATACAAGACAAAAGCCATACACTCAAAAGAGTGGCCACAATCACAGACCATATTTTCAAGTACATTCAAATGCATGTGGAAAGGATGAGTTTATTGCCTGACTGAAATACCAAGACTTAGTTCCCTAACCATTTAAGATCTTTGCCAATGATTACATGGCCTAAAGAGATTATTTTCTAAAAATCAGAAATATTAAATAACTTTGACACTTTCCCAGCAGGATTTTTTGATTTTCAGGAAGATAATACATGATTCAACTACTTTGAGGGGAAGAAAATTTATTGAGGGGGAGAAAAATAACAAATAAGGATCATTGTCTATTTGGTTTATCAGTTTGTGCTTTGGTGGCTCACAGCTTTCAAGATGATGCACTGAAGATATGGGTGGAACTGAGGATGGATACAGTGGGGTAAGTTTCCAAATTATATTTAAATTTGTCACATTCAGTTTATATTTTTAATTGCAAGTGGTGTTCTTTTCAACATCATATTGACAATAAAAACCTAGAGGAGAGATTTTGTTCTATGAAGTGAAGTCAGTGATAATATTTCTTTCCACACATGAAAAAATACTAACACTTCATTGAAGGAAATGATGTTTCAAAGTTGAATAATGATTGATTTTGCAAAGACAGAAAACAATTTGAATATAGGCAGTTACTGACTATCCACTGTTCCTCTTGACTAAAATTGTATGTTTCCTTCTCTTCTGAATATTTGTTCTATTACAGTAATGTGGAGATTCAAGGTACCCAGATAAAACAAATTCTACTGGGTATTGCAACCATGATTAGGCCTGAAAAGAACTATCTGCTGACATCTCTTCAGAGGACCTCAGTTCTGAAATGGTTAAGCAAAGCATTTGAAGTTTAAACATATAAACTATTAAGTGAATACCCTTAGTAATTTGCATGTAAACTCTGGAACTTTGCATTTCTTGAAGGATGTTTTCAGAAATGGGAAAAGAGAAAACTGGAAATATTTGTGATATTATCAACCATTGAAGAACATTCACTTCTCTTCACTGAAGAACATTCACTTCTCTCCATTAGTGTATGTCAAGTAGTAAATATCATAAAGTAGTTTCAAAGTAAGGACATTATATTTAAAGATTATAAGTGCTTTATCTTCCTCTTTTTAAGCTGGCGCATATGGAATGGAATGCACAATGGAGTGGATCACATTATAGACTAGTAAAAATAAACATTTATATAAGCAAATATAACAGTGAGGTATATATAAAAGTGATATATGGAGACATTTTTAGGGGGTGAGACTGGCCTGTTATTTTTACATTTATATTATGAACTTCCAAAGGCAGTAAAATATATCCAAAATGCCAACTGATACACTATCCAAACATGATCCCTCCCCCCTGATTAAATGGACTTGAAAAGTAATTAAGTTAATATAAGGAGCTGTATTTCTTAATATTCATTAGGCAAAATAAATGAGAATCATGTAAAATACACAAATGGTTGTATTTGAAGAGTGCTATAGAAAAGTTTACTTTTCACAATCTTACAAGGGACTCATAATGACCCCATGAAGTTGTCATTACAAATTAAGTGTTGAGGTGTCTTGTTAAGAAACCACAACTAAAATGTCCATGATGAAGAATATTTATCTTACTTAAAATATTCCTAAAAATCATACATCACACCATGAATTATTTTCTATATTTTGCAGATAAAGCATTTAACACTCACCCCTTCTCTGCATTGATAAAATCATGCAGTTGAAAAATAATGTGACTGAGTTTATTCTGCTTGGATTGAAGTGGTTTTTGCCACTTTCTTGATTTTCTATTTGGGGACCTTGTTGGGGAACTTTCTGATTATTGCTACTATCAAGACCAGTAGGGCACTTGGGAGTCCAATGTATTTCTTCCTTTTCCATTTATCTTTATCTGACACCTGCTTCTCTACATGCATAGCCCCTAGGATGATTGCTGACTCCCTTTTGAAGAAGGTCACTATCTCTTTCAGTGAGTGCACAGTTCAAGTTTTTTCATTCCATTTTTTCGGCTGCCTGGAGATCTTCATCCTCATCCTCATGGCTGTTGACCGCTATGTGGCCATCTGGAAGCCCCTGCGCTACAGGACCATCATGAGTCATCAGGTCTGTGGTGTGTTGGTGCCTGTGGCCTGGGTGGGGTCCACTGTGCATTCTTTAGCTCAGATTTTTCTGGCCCTGAGTTTACCTTTCTGTGGGCCCAATGTGATTGACCATTATTTATGTGACCTGCGGCCTTTGTTACAACTTGCCTGTACAGACACTTATGTGACCAACCTTCTCTTTGTGTCCAACAGCGGGGCCATCTGCACAGTGAGTTTTGCCATGCTGATGCTCTCCTATGCTATCATCTTGCATTCTCTGAGAAACCACAGTGCTGAGGGGAGGAAAAAAGCCCTCTCCACCTGCATCTCCCACATCATTGTGGTCATCTTGTTCTTTGGTCCTTGCATATTTATATACACTCGCCCTGCAACCACCTTCTCCATGGATAAGATGATAGCTGTGTTTTACACACTTGGAACACATTTGATCAACCCCCTGATTTATACCCTGAGGAATGCAGAAGTGAAAATGCCATGGGAATGTTATGGAGAAAGAAGCTGGTCTCAGATGACAAAAGATGAATGGAAGTTTCAAAGTTTTCTTCATAGTTTAGGTTGATCTAAAAGAAGCTCATAGACAATAATATCCTCTTATTTTGGAGTTAATATAATCTTAACTCAGAGTGTGAAGATTATTTCCTTTAGTAAAACGGGCAATGTGACCACACATGCTAGTTAGCATTGAGTCAAATATTTGTAGAACCGACGGCATCAGGTAAACACAGTCAGGTTAGACCATGGTCTTAGTTATTCACTGCTGTCTCTGCCTCTCTTGTCTGTCTAATATCGCTGTGGTTTGGATCTACTGCTTTCCTCCCTTGCATTGACTCCTGAATTTCTCTGTTTAACATTACACCATATGCTTTTATCTACAGCCTGACATATTTTTGTCTCGAGTTTATTTCTTAGATACTGTGATCAAACGTCTGATCATGGACCTTCAACTTGGTTGTTCTTACTGACTTCAGCATAAATCACCAGGTTCAAATAATAATAGTATATACATATTATAGAGACAAAATGTTTAATCTGGGAAACCTCTCTTCTTAGGTTATATTTCAATTTATTTTTTTTTGTATATTTGCCTAATTGTTCTATAAAAGTGACAGAACATTATGAGAAAATTCACCCTTTTATACTATTTTTTCCGTAGGGAGTTTCTGACTGTTGGGGTTGACCTCATATTAACAATCTTTCTGTTAAAAAAAAAAACTTTTTGCTATTAAAATGGTTCCTTCTATTTTGAGGGATCTATTAAGTTTTCTCTTGAATTATACCAATTATAATAGTATGTTTAAATATTACTTTATTATGATTATAGCATAGAAGGTATAAATTAAGGAAGATATATTGATGTGAGCTTTAAAGAAATGTGTACATGTAGTCAATGGTAGGGGATTTATAAATAAGAGTTAATTAAATAAAGAACATTATAACCCAGAGGAGGGTATTTAGGCTTTGAAACATAGTTATACCACATATATGGATTGTTTTAGTGAGTTTTAATACAATATAGAAAGTAGAGTAACTTAAGAAAGACTGAGATATTTGGAAGAAAATTAAATGTATCCAGTGAAGACGGATATCATCTTTCACTATTCATTATCACTGAAGTCTCTAATTACATGGTCATTAAGAAATTTTCTGATTTGTCTGATTTCTTATTTGTATTTTTATTCATATGGAAAATTCAATAGGAGTATTTTTGTTTATTTAGAACTTCTATTTCTAGTTACAAGCTAATAATTTTATTATGAGTACTAAATTTGTTTTACTTTCATTGTACCCAGAAGTTTGTATTCTTTCTTTATCCTGAGAAACAGGTCAGAGTGGAAATGGAAACTTGTGAATTCTGCAATGAACTCTAGCACTTTTCTATACACAGTTTTAATTTTTTTTTTAGATTCTGAGAATTTCAAGGCCTATCCTTCACAGTTTTTATTAATCACATCTGCTACAGTAAATAAGTCATCTGTGCTATGACATTCTATTCCTTTTGGATTTCTTGATATGTCATTATATGAAACAAAACTAATAAATATATATTAAAAAATAGACATTTCTGTTAAACATGCTGAACTGCCCTTAAAAATATATTCCCTTTCCTTATAAATTCCCATTAAAATAAGGAAAAAAATCATAAAATTTTGTGTCATAGCACATGACAGAAAAAACCAGACAGGAAATACCAGTTGGTAAAAGATTTTCACGTGCTTTTTGAAACATAGATATGACTGGTAGGTAACTAAGTAACTTAGCAGAGTAGAAGTTACAACCTGGAAAAGAGATAAGTAAGACCATCAAGTTCCACAAAAAAAAGTAGGCATGAAACATACATTGAATTACATAAAGATTATTTCCCCAAGTTACTTTCTGATAGTCAGGTGACACTTCCTCTATTCCATCCCACCAAAGATTGGAGGTCTATTATTTTTTAAAAATGAGCAAACGTGTTTCTGATATCACTGTGGAGGGCAGTGATAAAATGTACAACAGCATGTACACAGAGATTAAGTGAAAATCTCCGTAGTGAAATGTGAGACCCTTTCTTCTCAGGGCTCCCAGGATGTCAGCAGTCAGTATACATCGCAAGCTCACAGTTTCCGGGAATAGGCCCAAAACCCAAGTAAAAGAGTGGAACTGTTTGTTTCATTTTGCATTTTCTGGAGAGAGAAGAAAATATAAGTTCTGTAATATATAGTCTAATTACCTTAAAATAATTATACGTCCAAATATGTACTCATTGCGTATAACATGTGTAGATTTCAAATGATTTTTGTTGTTGTTGTTGTTGTTAATTTCCTCTGCCTTAAATACAAATAGTTTCTGTGTTCAGGTAAAACGGCAAGACTGGTGAATGGGAAAGTAGAGCGATAGAGACTTGCCTTCAGATGAAAGAAAGAGGGGGATTGGGTTCCTGGTCACACACTGGGCCTAGCAACTTCTCCATTTTCCTCAATAATTTAGCTCTGATCCTACTCCTATAACACTCATGCTCTGTAGCTGACTAGACTATTTTCTTAAAAAATTTGTGGTCATCTACTAATATCTAATTATTGATCTAAAACTATATAAAGGTCCTCATCTTATTTTTCCTGCCAAGGAAACAAACATTGTATTTTTGTCTATCATTTATGCTATTCAAAACAGATTTTCTAGTGAATGTTTGTTTTCCATGTGCTGTTTAACATGAAAGAATGCTAAGCAGAGTTTAGTTGTTTTATTTCTTGCGTATTAAAATTGCATTTATCACTTTAGAGAAAATGAATCAGGCACTGGGGTTCAATCAGGCTCACTTTATCTGTAGAAAATAAAGAATGTATCTTTTTGTTGTTTTTGTAAAATCAAGTTAATAATAAGGGTCCTTGTGTCTTAGGATAAACTAGAAAGTCATTAACAGTTCAGGGTTCTGGGAGTTCAGACTCCTGCCATAACTGCCATTTTCTGAGCTTGTCTGTGATTCTTTTTTTTTTCTTTAATCTATTAATTCACTTTTTAAAAAAAATTCTCTATTGCCTTCATGTTGTTTGTTTACTCAAAATGTCTGCCTTCACCTGGCTCTGGGTTGTCAAGGTAGCAATTCTTTCTCCATGTATCTTACAATATTCTCCCCCTTTTCTCAGATGTATCCAATTCCCTATTCAGAATTCCAGACAGGAAATCTGGGTAAACTTGCCTTTGAATAGACTAAACTCAAGTCATTGGTCAAACCCTGTAGTAACTCCCCAAGAAGCTGTTATCTCTGGTTCAATCTGCTATGATATAGAAGAGTTGGCGGGGAGGATAATGGGGTAAAAAAAGATATATATCTAAGGCAATTTATCAAGTTCATTTAGCATGGACCATTACCCATCATGCTGGAAAAAATGAGGAAAACATTATAGTAACTAATCAAAAATTTACCTGAACATTTTAAGTAAATGTGACTTGTTTTTGTTTTCCTTAGTTTTATTGAGAGACTATTGACATATGATATACATAAGTTTTGTGATGATTTGATACAAGTATATATTGGAAAATGAATATCACAATAAATTTACTTAATACACTCCAAATACTATTATGGGTGTGTATATGTGTGTGCTGGTATTTGGTGATAATATATAAGATCTACTCTCTTGATGACATTCCAACATATAATCAGTTCAGTTCAGTCACTTAGCCATGTCCAAGTCTTTGTGACCACATGGACTGCAGCACACCAGGCTTCTCTGTCCATCACCAAATTCATGTTCATCAAGTCAGTGATGCCATCCAACATATAATACATTATTGTTAATTAGTCACCATTCTACACATTAGATCACCCAAATACTTATTTTTAAGTGAGAATCTCTTTTCTTTCTTTCTTTCTTTCTTTTTTTTTGAGAATCTCTTTTATTTGATTAATATCTCCCTATTTCTCCTACTTCCTGGCCCCTGGAAACCACCCTTCTAGTATTTCTATAAGTTTAGCCATTACAGATTCTGCATGTGAGAACATACAATTTGTCTTTTTCTCTCTGACTTATTTTACTTAGCATAATGCCCTCAGGTTCCAGCCACAATGTTGCAGAAGGTAGGGTTTCCTTCTTCTATATTGCTTAAGAATATTCCATTGCATATGCACACCACATTTTATTTTTCCATGAATCTTTTGATGTACACTTAGGTTATATCTATATTTGGCTATTGTGGATAACAACTCATTAAACATGAGGGTAAAATATCTTTTAAGACTCCCCCCCCCCCTTGAATGTATATCCAGATGTAGAATTGGTAAATTATACGGTAGTTCTCTTTTTAATTCTTTGAGGAAACTTCATACTGTTTTCCATAGTGGCTACATTGATTTACGTTCCCAACAATGCACAAGTGTTCCCTTTTCTCCACATCTTTAAACAAATCCTTGTTTCTTATAACCCTTCCTCTAGGAAGACTTGCACAGTTTGAGGACTTTTAAATCTGAGTAAGTGTGATGGGTTAATGGAGACTGACTAGTCTGCACAAAATGGGAGCCCCAGCACTTCAGGTTTCTTCTGCACCGTTCTTTAATCATAGGGTCTCAGAATCTCCTTACAAGCTCACACATCAAGTGATCTTCTCTATCCCATTGTGGCAATCATGTTCCTTATTTCTCTTCCATAAAGCCCTCTCTCTCCCTTTTCTATAGATCCAGTCTCATTTAGGCTGGAGGAAGGGAAATATGGCATCTGGTAATCACCAGGGTCAGGGAATCATACCCTGGTGTGTAGGTTAGTTTCTTTATTCATTTTTTATTTTGCATGAGCTGGAATAAGGTGTGAAAACATTCAAGTCAACAGCAATAAAAAAAGAGAGGAAAGGAAATACACATAAAAAAACAAATTTTGCTATGTAAAATTCCCACCTCAGGTTATAAACAGAACCATCTGGCATTCAAGAATTCTAGTAGTCTCAGATTCACTCTTTATATAGTATAAATCTACCATTAACTTGTCATTCTGACAATGTCTTATCAAATAATGTTTTAACTTATTGACAAATATGACTGATTTTTTCATATTGTTAAATCATTTACTCACTGTTTT